GCCCGTTTAGACTTTCTCTCGCCCCTTTTATGTGCCCCTGGGTCTCCGAGGATGCCGCGCTCTTAGCTGCTGGGGACGTTTCGCGCGGAGGCGAAGAGCAAGGAGAAACGGATGTTTTCGCAGGCTACAGAAGGTTTCAGTAAAAGGTTTTGTATGGGGAAAAAACGATTATTCCCGGGTGTTGTAGGTGTTCAATAGAAAACGACTTATCTCATTTAAAGGTGTGAAACTTCTTTCTTGTGTGGTCCGCGATTCGGTTTACGGCCATTTTTAGGTAAGAAATAAATGTCGGGACAGCAACTACATTCAAAGCTATAAAGGCTAACAAAGCATCCCATCAGGAATTACAAAAAGAACATGATGGGACCCAATCAGCTAAATTTGCTAAAATTCCTAAATGTTATCACAGAACCCCACGGTCATTTAGGGGCGGATGCAGGATTTTTTTAGGAGGGGGTGCACTCGTCTCTTGCTCTACTTCAACACCAATATACCACATAGTTTTTTTTTTTTTCGCAGAATACCAGTTGTATTAGAAAACCGCAGGTCATCTCAGGGGGGGGGGGTGCACACCCCCCGCACCCTCCCCCTAGATCCGCCCCTGTCATAGAGATTCAATTTTCTTTCGCCCAATTTAATACAAAGAGAACGGGTGATAGGCTATTGCAGAGCACTGGTTTGTTTGATTACAAGGGAAACTGAACACTTAATGTTGCCCTTAATGACAAGGGAAACTGTGAGTTTTGTTCCAACATTATATTGAGATTGTATTGAGGGTCAAAAGGAAGCGAATTTTGGAGACAGCTTTGACACATGACATGGGAAACGTTCCAATCTAATCAAATATCTTTTTCCAGTAGGGAAGTATATCAAACAGGTTTGACTATACAATGGTCGAGTAAGCTTCCATATATACGTCATTTTGCGGGGAAACCAGTGGTAGCGTCGCCAAATGTCGGCTGTTTTCACAGGCTACCCAATCTACAGCTTTCCCATCATTGTCCATATGACAAATCAATGACACATACACAACATCAAGTAATCCTGGTTTAATGCTAGCATTCAGAGATAAACGTGTTACAGATGTTATGAAAAGTTAGAACTAAAAGAATTCTACTCACATGGCATGACAACAGCATTTCTAAATTATTGTTATCAAACTTATGTAGAGGGTCATCTAGGAAAGTGCACATTTTCTGAGTGAAAGTGTAAAAGATGTTGTCTTACAACAATACAATTAACAAAGATCATAAAAATAAACAATAATTATTATATTAATTTAGTTACTCTCAGTAAATTAATATGATGGTGATATTATTTTATGAACCCACTTCTTTTCATAAATATATTGCAGTCCACTATTTCACTTTTACTCTTTGCCCACATTTATTTTAATTACAGCTTGAACATTCACAATATTATTGTACCTGACAATAAATTTTAGAGGGGCACTGTTTACAAGGAAATGGGTTATTTACATATTTTTACTTTTTTATTTATGAGTAGACCAGTGTATATTTTCTTTTTACCTTTGTGAAAGTTAATTTAACAACTACAAGAATTTACTACTTTAGATTGATGCCTCTGTTGGTGTGCTGTTCCAGAAGATATCAGGTATCCCAGGTATGTTTGCCTCGAGCACATCCTCCACCCCTCAGTGATTTTGTTACAAATAGTTATGGTGAGTTATGGGACTCATCTTGAGAAAAATCATGAGTTCCAGTTAAAATAACTAGTCTGAAATTGAACATGCTTGGGCCTTTATGCAACCAGACAGTTTATCTGAAGACAGACTCCAAAATTCTGTATTAGAGTATACTAAAATTAAAATATAGTCCTTCTATTTTAAAGCGCAACAAAGGTTAAAAGAAATATGCATCGTTTAACAACAGCCATAACAAATGCCACAGAAATTACATGAACCGGAGATTTCTACAAATGCACATGATCAGAGCGATTGATCAATCTTTGTGTCCTACAGGATGCATGCCGTGAATTATTTGAGGTCTTTAGGGACTTTTATGCATCAGGGATGTAGGACGCAGAGGTAACAAAATCACTGACCCGTTTGAAAAGTTCACCTTATGTAGTTTCAAACGTGCAGTCTACTTCCCTCCCCTACACAATTCCCTGTCAAAAATACAGATATTTTCTGGAACCACATAACCAGCTGATAACTTCTGAAGTTATTACACCTGGAGTGAACAAAACATTCTTGATATGTTTTCCAGCAATCTGACAAGTTGATTAAACAAACTACATTAGTTAAGGATTAATGATGTAAAAATTAACATTTGTGTTCTTGAACACAGCAAGTGGAATTGACTTTTTTAGAAACTTAACATTTTTTAGCTGCTGCCCAGCCAAAAGGCATAATAGTGTAGCATCTTCATTACCAGTATTCAAACTGCGATAAAATCTCATTGCTAAGATTAGAAAACCTTAAAATTGTCAGAAATGCTATTTTTGTATGTTCTTTCTATCTCTAACAAGTTTAAAGTTGTATCAAGCCCAAGGGGTACCCTGGATTTCAAGTGACCGGGATGATCCAATGGGGGCAAAAATCAAAACCAAAACAATCCCTAGGGCATCAGATTGTTCTGAACACCCCCAAAAAAATCCCCACTTAAATCAAGCCATCAAAATACTTGCCAAATTTTCCTACCCAAAAAGATCCCGGAATTGAAAATTTAAAACCCCAAAAAATCCATTGATCATCACTGTTACCGGTACTTGAAATCCGGAGAACCTCCTGGCGTATGAAGTAACATTGGCATGAGAAAGATCATGTGGGCTGTAGCTGCAAAGGAGTAGTAGTAAGTAGACAGTTTGGCAAAATAACTAATAGGGAAAAACTGTAAGCAAATATCGAAACACACAACATTACAACTCCTCAAAATGCTACTTTACCTTTATGTACACACTAGATATATACTAACTACTTGTTAAAACATGACCACTCATTATTAACTTGACTGAGTCCTGCAGTGATGAACAAATTTTTCTACTTTTTAAGGAGAAATAATGAAAATAAAAGTTATCTGTGCAACTGTGCAATCAAAGAATTCATACCAGACGATCATACTCAAATAAACTCTGATATAGCCAAAATACATGTTACATCTTATATGCAGTCAAACCCCGTTAATATGGAGACTGAGGGGGCCTTAGAAAGTTTTCACTGGCGTATTAAAAGGGTGTAAAGCCAAACTGTTCGTAATGATGCGGTGTCTGTGAAGTGGGGCTTGACTGCAATTGACTGTAAAACAAACTGTCACTGACGGTGACGCATAGTTAAAAGGGAATGGAAACTTAATTGACAGTAGCTCTTACGACTAAAATTAACATTACAGCTGTTCATTGCAGCACTCACTCTAATAAATAGGCAATAAATTCACTCACTAACCAAAAAGCTAAAATGATATTGATAATATTCCAGTATCAAAATAAAAGCCATGTTTAATAAATTAATAACAGTAAATATTTAATGCTTTGTTCAAAAAATAGAATTGGCTACTTTTTGCTATTATGTATTTACCAATCTTTCCATCAACAGAAAACTTTATCATCAAGTTAATTAATACGCTCTACTTTTCACCAGTTCCATACAGGGTCAAAGCCCACTTTGTTACCCTACCAGCATAGGCATTCTTAGAATCTTCTTCATCTTCTTCTGTTAGTAGACTATCTAACTCACCTTCGTCATTGGAAACTGGAAAAACTTGATCACGCATGTAGTCTTCACCAAAGCGTCCATGATGAATTTCATCATGATAATTGCTGTAGTCGTCTACAATTTCATCTCGGCGTGCTTTCAAAAGGTCGTGCTGGATCTCAACTTTTTCTCGCTCTTCAATGTCATTGTCATGCCTGTTGAGCCCTTGGGTAATATCTTGTTTTTTGTGATGAAATTGCAGTTTCCAAGTTCCGCTTGGTGACTCATCCCATAGATGTACTGTCATGAAGTCCCAGTCAGTCAGGCCAAACGTGTCTTTGTCCAGGCGGCGAACAGAGAGCAAGGTGCTTTTTGTATTGCCCGGTGAGATGACATCAATGCTAATATCACCACGGAATGCCTTGGACAACCTAAAACTGACTGTGACTTGAACATGTTCCAATTTTCTGACATAGTTGTTGGTGCCTCTACAACCTTCTGTTTGAAGAGTAAGCTCTAAAGTACCACTAAGTGGAATGATATCGCCATTATCAAATGATCCATTTACGACGCACTTATGTTGCTCCCCAACTGACTTCCATTTTAGTGCCTTATCAACCAACTTGCTAGCACTCAAACGACCATAACCAAACTTGTGGTTAAACCACAAACCAGCAGCATTTCTGATCCAGCCATCATCTTCTGGACTGGTCTTCACCGCTGTTTTTACCACTAGGTGCTGCAGATCTCGCCAGGTCAGATCTCGGTTTGCTTCAAGAACCAAAGCAAAAATTCCTGAGGCCAAAGGTGCTGCAGATGATGTGCCACGAAACCGTGCAGTGCATTTGTGATGGAGGTCAGTAGTGACCAGATCTGCCTCACTGGACCCACCACGATGAGTGTCTCCTGTAAAAGTTACTGCCATGGTAGAAGAACACTGCTCATCATAATACGTCGAAAGGCCATATCGACTGACAGCACCAATTGAAATGGTGTAAATGCTTGAAGTGTAACCATCTGCATTGCAATCATCATCGGCTAGGCCTCCATTACCAGTCGCCCACACATAAATTGAACCCTTACCTGAACAGAAGATGGAACACAAATTAATTAATTAACTGATTGAGTAATTTACTTTATTTTTTCTCAGGAAACATATTTCAGGAAATTTCTTGGTATAAACAAACCAAACAGTTAAAGAAAAGAACTGCGACGTACTGTTCAATACAAGCTGTTTCTCAGCATTATTGGCATTCCACCAATGAGGTTGATGTATTCCTCCAGCTGGGTTTTACTTTCCCCATTCACCTTGCACAAATGTTTTCAATTTTACAGTGAAAGCTTTTGTTAATAAATGCCCTCAGATGTGACCATTGAAATAACCATCACTATAGCTGATAAACTATGGGAATAATGCTTGTAAGCAAAACCTTCAAGTGGATTTTGTCCAAAGAGGGGAGTATTTTGGCATTGTTGAAATAACTTCAAGATGAGGAAAAAAATAAAATACACATAGTGTGATGAACAAAAAACCACAATAACATTTAACTATCATTTTTTGCATCTTAAAATAAATTAACTGTTGATGGAAACTTTTTAGGCTCAGAATTTTGGGGGTTCCAGTTGATTTCTGATCCAGGGATTTTTTGGGGGTTTTGATGGAAGTTTGAGAGATTTTTTGGGGCTTTGATTTCAGCCCCCCTCTGGATCATCCACCTAGGATTCATACATACATACATACATACTTTATTTGTCATGTAGGTCAGTGAAAAAAGGCAGCTAAAGAGCTGATGTGGACCTCCTTAAAATGTTTTTTTTCATTTTTAAAATCTAATTCGGGATTCCTTTTCACTATAAAGCTTGGAAAGTATAAGAACTAGTTGAGTAAAAAATTAATTTGTATTGGATGCCACGGATAATATACTTAAACATTAACCTGATCTTTTATAACCTTTTCTAAAAGCCAGGCGAACTTCGCCCGTTATATAATACACTCGAAACATATTTAGGGAGTGTTTCAAGCTATGAATTTTCTCCATAGTACTATCTAACGACGATGAAATCACATTAAAACCAAACAAAAGTTACAAAAAAAAGAAAAGGAAAATTTACGACATAACATACGTCAAAGAATCTCAATAGAGACTCCCACTTAAATGTAAATAAGGAAAAAAATTTCCTGTCACAATTTTGATTTTTCGCACTTAAATTTCTGAATATACACCAAATAAATTAGTAAGGATTCTTAACCTTTTTTTCAAGGTCCCATTTCTTGCAAAAAAGTCACTAGTAGTATGTCAAATTTTCTATTTTTTTAGGATCAAAAATTAGCCTTTAAATTATTAATGAGCTGAAGACCGCAGTTTCCGAATACTAAGAGGGACATTTGGCGTATGTATGCTTAAGACAGATCAAAATGTGATCAGGGCAACCTCGTTCATTTTAGTGATACAATTTTATGCCCGATTCGCCCCAATCGGACATTCATAAAAAAAATCTACTATCGTTACCATCGTACATGACAAAAAGTTTTAAAGAAATACAACTTCTTAAGACATATTTAGATATAAAACTTACCTCCACGACCCTTCTTCGCTCCATCTGCGAACGCTTTTTGACCAAGCGGCCCCGGTCTACCGAACGTTTTCCCATCGTCTTTTGGACCCCAACAATTACTGTAGATATCAATATAGTCAGACTGAAAGCTCAAAGCGCTAGCTTCAAGTTTATCCGTAGCTGTTCCGTCAAGCATACGAACGCCTCCAAGATTAACGTTGAAAGCGACTCCCACTCCGCATATTCCATTATCTTCTTGCGCTCCAACTTCACCGCCGCATTTAGTTCCGTGAGCGTTGTAAGGATCGCTGTCGTTTGGAAATGGATCGTCATCGTTGTCATTAAAGTCATAACTTGCGTTTTTATCGTAGTTTCTCTTCAAATCAGGATGTGTGTGATCTAATCCGTCGTCAAGAATACTCACAACAGTTCCCTTTCCAGTAAAACCGCGACGCCAAACGTCTAAGACTTCTATATCGGCGCCTACCAAATGTTCATCATTCTGTCCCCAGTTTAGTAAATACCACTGCTTTTCCCATCCAGGGTCGTTGAAAATCCTCTTATACTTTTCCTCGCGAACCTTTCTCTCTAATTCTTTTTCTCTCAAGTATTCGTGCGTTAGATAATCTCTCTTGGTCCTCTCGAGTACGCGTTGTTGTTCAGCCCATTTCACTCTTGGATGATCTGTGAGTTGTTGTGTTCTTTCAAGAGATCTCTTTTTCAATCGGGAATTCGTGCCTTCATGTACAAATTCGAAAACTCCTGGCATATTACCGATTCTTCCATTGTGTGTAAGATCAAAACTTTTCGCTATTTCAGCGGCAAGATCATCGTCATCGGCGTCAAGCTCCACTGCCCAAATGTTCGTGTACACTGGCTTGCCTTCTTCGAGAAGCTCTCCGATATGATCGCTTCGATATTCTTCTTCATAATTTTCATTCTGGTGAGCTGTTACTGTTAAAACTGCTACAAAAAGTAGTAGTCTTAACATCAGTGTTCTGAGAATCATTTGAGAGAAGCTCACACGGCGCCTTCCGTTCCTAACTTCTGAAAACGCCAACCGCTTCGAAGTCGACCTCTTATATCCCTCGCGAGGAAAGTTGTTTATTATGCTGAATGGCTGTCCAACACCCTCGCACAAAATTCACCAGGGGTGGGAGAGTAGCAGATATGCTTTGAAGCAAAAATTGCCTTCCTTTTGGTGTTAAAAGATCGTAAATTGCCTTCACGGTATCGTTTGAAACTAATATTTCACCCAATAAAAAGAAAATTTGTCAAAGCTACAAAAGGATTTAAAATATATGGCTTGCGTAAATTGCTTTCATTGTATATCCTAAGTTTTTCGTTCTTTGATCTGATTGGTAGATACAGACTTCCAATTTAAAACTAGTGGGTGCTAAAAAATTATTAGATCCGGAAAACTTATCGAGAAAATGCAAATAGGAAAAAGCAAAGATTGCTCATCAGCTGTCTAGAGGGTCATCAGAAATAATTGAAACTTCAAAGTTTAAAGCAAAACACGGCACATGCAATAAAAATATATAACTTTATGTGTTAGTCTTGGCCTCTTTTTCGTTGAAAACACCCCTTGTTTCTATCCAAAGTATTAGATTACAGAAGGTACAATTTAACTGTAAACTCAGTTAAAAAAAGGGAAAAAAGGTTTGGATCAGAAACGTATCTCAGAACTAAATCAACTCGAAGAAATAACTCAATATTCGGTTAAGGAAATTAATAATAAAGGACAGTTTTAGAATGTTCTCCAAATTTTACAGAGTCGAAAACTTTTTCCGTGGCATTACAATTGAGTTATTTTTTTTACTCAGTAAAATATAAATTAAAGCAGAAAAACATAGGTCGTGGCAGATGTTCAGTTTCACCATTGTTCAAACAATCAATCACGTTCATGCGTCATGGAGACAGAGGTTATTTTGGTCTTCCATCGAGGACGATTGCCGCAAAAGAAACGAATTCATATTCAGACTCTTCGCAGCATAACTCTTGAACAGAAAACCAAGTTTCTTTCGTCTTCCTTTTTCGGATTGTTGTACATGAGACTCAACGCCCAAAAAATATCGTTTCTAGTGGATTGACAGAGAACACTGAACAGTTTTCTGTTTCATACAAAAAAGCCGTCGAAAGGTGGACCGGAATGCGATTAAATCGATATGAGTTCATTAAGCCCACTCTTTCTCTTTTGATGTTATTTAAGCTTTGTTCTCTTCACTTATGATCTGTCCGGCCCCTATTGCATGAAATATTAACGACGAGACAAAGTTTAAAACTACATTAAAAAAAGAAAGAAAAAAAAAATTAATATAACTGTCACCGTACGGAAGACTCGCGGGCAAAGAACAGTCCCACGAGTTCGCTTACCACATAAAAGTCTGATAGTGACCAGTAGTTGCGAAATTTTCTCGGTTTCAGTTAATGTGTCGCTTAATTCTACCGGCCACAATGAACATTAAGAACTTAACGAGTTTACGTTTCCGAAGCGAAAGCGAAAATGAATGCTTATAGCTGAATATATTTTGGCAGAAGGAACAATAACCCAGTTAAACCGTATAAAAGGTGTCAGTCTTAGCAAATCTTTACGGAATGCTTTCTTTTTATATCGGCGATAATTTGACCACAGCACACGCACATGTGAACAAAAAGCAAGTAATTGGCAAGGGATTTGCCTCAAAATGCTTGAGATCGTTTGAGGCAAGACTAGCAAGAAGTTTATAAATCAGTGAAGTCCGTAAATAAAGCGGGCTGGGCCATTTCAACAAGCCCTTCTACTCTGAAGGTTTTCAAAACATAAGCTTTGAAATTCATGTCAGAATTTCTCCTTTCATTCACCAACCTACGCAATACAAAGGTTCCTTTTGAAACTACACGTTTATCAACGAGCGGTTAATGATGACCTTGGTAGCGACTTAATTCCGACTAGTTATATCAATACTCTGATTCAGACTCGATAAACAAACAGGTTTCCACGGTAGTTTTCGGCTTTCTGTATCGTAAACGTGAAACTAAATCACACCGAAACAGTTATACAGGGAAAGATTTGTTGTAAATCATAATATATCTTTAGCAGCTTTAATTTTACCTTGCTATAACTGCGGACATAAAAGGCTCATTGCAGGGAGGATAAAGGTTATCCGCCCTGGCTCATTGCAACTAACGCTCCCGGTTCAAAAAAGGAAAATGCCGCCAGCGGTTTTAAAAAACAAAGGTAAGAAATGGTCCACGAAGGAAAAGTAATAGGCATTTTATGAAAGACGACTTATTATGACCTTAAAAATAATAGTAAATATATATTTTTGTCGATCAAGGTCTAGAGAACGAAAGTAATTGGCAGAGTGATTGTAATTCGTGTTCAATTCCCCTCCGAACTGGCATTCTTTATAGTTAATACATAAAATTCGTAATCTTTGCCGTAACTCCAACCGTGTAAATATACGCTGGTTGCAATATTAAGGACAACGACCTGGCGATCACCTGCATTTGAAAGTTTAGAGTGTAACAATTACTTTGTAAAAACTGTTCGGAATATAATTTACTTTGAATTCTGTGATGTAGCCTGTTGCAGGCGTTCAGATCGTGGCCGTGACAGCGCAAGGAGATACGGAGAAAAAAAAATCTGTGATCGTCGCTTCTCTCCCTCCGCGAGAAGCTAGAGCCGAAAAAACCGGATGCTCTCGCAGGCTATACAAACACTTCATGAAGTAGTTTTTAATGTTATGTTAAATAACCAGATGGGATAGGTTTGTTTTTGCAGGTACAACAACTTTGCTAGAATGTTTTCAGATGTTTATTAGGCTGCTGGCTTTCCAGTGTTTTTTTTTTTAAAGTTTTGAGTCTTGCCGTACACATGTCCCGGAAACAAGACAAGAGAAGGCGGCAGGAATAGTCTACTCGTTTGTTTTCGGTTAAAATCACAACCGATATGAACTGAGCTCACTTTAAAGAGAACACAAAGTGCTTCTGAATTTTTTTATTATAACCTTTCTTCCTTCCTGTTCAGCTTTCTGGCCCAAGGTTTTTTTGTTGTTTTACACGACAAATATAACATGAGCCATAATCGGAGGATTAATTACGGCTCTTGATTAAGGGGTAGCACTGAGTAGGTTAGTTTACTGTTAGTCATGTATTAGAATTTGTATCCATACTCCTAAATAAACCATCTTACTTAATAACCAAATATGTGGATTCTTTTTTCGGTAGAAAGTTAATTTAGAAAAAGTCTAGGGCTTGGAGTATTTTATAATTACAGGGAAATATTTAGCCTAATTGTTTAAAGGTTTCCTGAAAAGAGAGGAAGCAGTGGATTGAGTTACAGATCGCCTAGAGTCACCTGTCTAACACGATCAAGGGTTGTTTCTTGTTGGTGTTGAGAGCAAACTGTGTAGCAATACATTGGTTAGTCCGCTCATTGTCCATTGAAACTTTTGTTTTAGGTCATTTTATGCCTGCATTTTTCTGCAATGTCAAGAAACAGCGAAGGCGACTCATCCGCTCTCACTCACTCACTCACTCCCTACCCCACCCTCTTGCTGTTCTTCCTGCCCCGATCTTGTTGTATCTTTTTTTCAAGCTAACTTACGATTGTGTTGTATTTAAAAGTCGGTAGAAGTGTAACACCACCTCAAAACGGTAACCGGTCTGGGTACTGATTTGTCCTAATTAACGGGGTCGGACTGTTAATAAATATATTTTTCCATAATTGAATAAATGAAACGTAAATAAACAAAAAACTTCTTCTTGACTCATATTTTAATAGCCTTTAAACTGGCACGACCTCCCTTTCCCGCTTAACATTCCGAAAAAACTGTCAAGCTAAGCAGTACCAAACATGACTATAGACCATTCAGTGACGCAACCTGCGACATCTCCATCCGAGTTTTCCGACGGGCTACATTGAGGCTCATCACTTTTAACGTTGTTTTGTTCACTTGAATCCGCTTTTAACTTCATATAGTCTTCCTTGAATCGTCCGTGATTTAATTCCTGCTGGAAATTAGGTTCGTCTCCCTGCTGGAAAACCTCATTTACTGGAGTCATATAATCTTCTTTAAAGCGTCCATGCGTGAGGTCGCTTTGAACCATGGGCTCGTTATCTGCCAGTCTGGATGTTTCCTCGTCAAATTGGCTGTCTTGTTGATTTCTGGGAGAATAGCTGTTCTGTGACTAACAGAGAAAGAGTTTGTTAACGAAATGATTGATATGTTTGACATCTTAGTCTTAAGTCAAAAAGAGATAAAAAACTTTCACGAAATCCGTACCCATGCATGGGGGTCAAAACAGGTGCGGTTTTGGGAATGTTCTTGTACCTATCTGACCGAGCAAGGAGATACACCTCTAAATACCATCGTGTTTTATTGTTCTTTTCCCCACAGAAAGCACTGCAGTCAACTCTCTCTAAGACGGACACCTTTGGGACCGGTGCCCGTTTTACAGAGGTGTCCATCTTATAGAGGTGTCCGTTAAGAGAGAGTCGACTTGTATCATATATTTTTTCCGATTGTTAAATGAATCAAACTGTGTGACTTACGGGCAATTTCCCCTTAATTATTCGTGGCCTCGTTTAATCGAGAAAGTACGGTTTTATCCAAGTCAGACCATATTTAGTTATTTACTGAGAACTTGAACTGAATTCTCTACCTGTTGATCAAGAATCTTCAGGGTCCACTCCCCGCTGGGAGTTTCTCCCCAGAATTGCACAGAAGTGAAAGGCCATCGATCAAGACCCTGGGTAGAGTCATCAGACGGCCTCGTAGCCAGCAGCCGAGAAGTTGTCCCTTGGGGAGAAGTGAGCTCAATCGACATGTCGCCCCTTCGACGATGGAGAACTGAGAACACTAGCTGCACGTGCTCTAGATTTCCTATAGTCCTGTCGTCATTGGTGAGCTATTTTTAAAGACAAAATAACATGAGTTGTTAGAAAGGTGAGAAACCCAAGCTAAAGGAATTCAAACAAATCTGCAGCACCTCGAGCCTACTAAAAAAAAAAAAAAAAAAAAAAAAAAAATTTCTTAATATTATTAAAAAAAAACAGTATTTTAGAAGGGGGGTGCGTGAAAAGGAAAAATATAATTGGGGGTGTCGTGCTAAAAAAAAAAAAAAAAAAAAAAAAAAGGAACTGTCCAAGAGATAGTAAAAATACTCGGTTTGTTTGTAGTGGTTTACCTTCAAAGTCAACATTCCATTGGATGGTATCTTCCTGGTTTCACGAGTCAGGTGACCTGGCACCTCATGTGTTAGTTGTTCATCAACTTGTGTCCAGTCCTTCGCTTTTTTTATTAAGTCCATTGCATGCAAAACTCCAAAACCATAGCAAAGACTGTAACTGTGTCCAGCGGCGTTCTAAAAATGCACAACGGTGCACAGATCCGTTAAACTAGTACGTAAGGTCGTTACTAAGATTTAGATTAATTTCTCCTTTTAGAATCAGTCTCGTCCCCAGAGCCTAAAACGGGCAAGTGATCCTAGCTCAGCTGACCAAAAGTCTCGCAGCTGGGATGTGATCGGTTTGTGGGAAATCCGATTAAAGTGAGCGCTTTGAAATCCAACATTGCTGGGTAAGTGTCAAGTCTTTGCAAACAATTATTTATAATTGGCTGATCGTTTCCTATTTCGCACTTTATTTATGAATTGCGCGGAAAAAAATGCGTTGCACGTAAATTCTATTTCATTTTTAGGTGTTTTTTTGGTGGTCTTACCGTCTTCCATGAAAGTCCATCAGGATCATTTTTTCTGGCTGTGTGCACAACCAGGTGCTGCATATCTCGCCAGGTAAGGTCGGGATTTGCTTCTAAGACCAGTGCGAAAATTCCCGCAGCAAGTGGCGCCGCGCATGATGTCCCAGAAAACGAATCTACACAGTGCCCTTTCGGCGATGTGGTCACGAGATTGGCATATCTTTCTCTCTTGCCTACACCGACATCCCCAGTATAAACGACAGCCATGGTAGAAGGACAATTTTCGTCGTAAAACGTGCAGAAACCTCCAGGGCTAATGGAACCCACAGATAATGTGTATATACTTGACGCATATCCATCGCAGTTACAATTGTCCAGGTTATAGCCGCCGTTCCCATTTGCCCATACAAAAATAGTTCCTTTACCTTGAGAAAAATAAAGAATACTTCTTATTGACTGAGAAGCCGTTTATGAAAAATAAAATGCAAATTCATAGACGTAGCTTCTTCAACCTGGCTCCCAGAGATTTTCCCTTCCCCCCCCGGGGGGGGGGTACTTCCTAGTAGTAGGCGACTGGGTTGACTATTATGGGGTTGCATTTTTATAAGAGTTACTAGAATGGGGTTACACATTTTCAGGATTTTGGCGGTCTGAACATGAATTCAGGTATGTAGGGATTTAAGAAAAGAAAGATTTACAGCACATTAAGTTTAACAAATGTGTCAGTTCGTATCAGGATGATTAAATTAAAAGGCTTTATGAGGTAGATTCAAAATCGGTAAGTGACTAATTTAAGATTGCGAAACTTCCTATTTTTTCCAAAGTGACTAACTGACTAAGATGGGGTCTACAATATTGCCACAGCATAGACTATAATGGGGTAGGGGTTCTGAGAGGCCATCGGCACATACCCATTAAAAAGAAAGCCAAGTAACACCCCCCCCCCCCGGGTTTCCACCCTCCCATTTTGTAAGGGAAATAAATGTAGCCTTAAAAAACAGCCTTCTCTCCCCTCCCCTCGCCGCTAAGGACGTTTCGCCAGAAGGGTAGCTGCTATTCCCGCAAATCGTACACTCCGCCGAGAATACCCCGAGAACGAAAATCATTTGTATAGCCAGGTCTACTGATATAGGTTTTATGTCGCGGCTTACGTTAAACAGCCGAGACTGGAGTCTAAACTCAGTGGCATAATGGGACCAGGACAGGTCTAGTTTTGGCTTTTATCCCAATCTGCAGAATATTTTTCCATAGTTTTGGTCAAAAGCGTTGTAAAGTTCTAACGACCTTAATCTTATGGGTTTGTTTTTTTTTTTTTTTGAAGAAAAAAGAAGTTGTTTGAGTTGGGCAATTTTGGCACCTATGTCTTCTCTGAACATGGAAGACTGAAAAGGATAAATGAAGGGCAAGAAAATCGACAGGGTTTGATCCTTTTGTTAGAGCGTATCCTGAAAAACTACTTTGGGAACCCAAACAAGGCAGACGCTCAAGGGAGCGCCCAGCAGCAACATTCAATGACCAGCTACAGAGAAAAACCAGTCCGGGCAAGACCTACCATCGCGGCTGTCGTAATGGGACAGACTCGTCACATCAACGTGTGTGCTCCAGAAAAAGATATTACTTTATGGTGGGAAGGTAGCTTCTTTACAGTAACGACTGAGAGGATTGAGATGTTCTGCTCAGATCGAGATCAGTCTAATTTTGAGTACTAACCAGCCAATTTCAACACGCTTTGTATTTCTCCAACAGTCCTAACCCGCCATCAGGCCAAATTTTAGTTGCTATCAGACAGTTTCTCTTACGTAGTCGCGTAAAAGAAAAGCCCCTGCTGGATCGAGTTTTGTTTAGCAAGTCTACACTTAGCCTCCCACGCAGGCGTTTTTAGGGAAGCTTGTCGTTCATTCCTCCCCACAAACGAGCTCCCCTAAAGACGCCTGCATGGGAGGCTAGTCTAGACTTGGGTTATTATAGCCCACAAATTACTACAGGAAAAATACGTCTCTAAAACACGTAGGTTTGAAGAGATAAGGAATTGAGTTAGCGTATCCAACGCGGTTTTGGAGTTTACCTCAGTTTACAAATAACAGAATGAGGGCTAAAGACTTCAACTTGTCAGTTCAATCTCTTAGAGAGATTTCAAGTATAGCGTAATGGCAGTTATCTCCTTCTCCACATTAACGCAAAGGGAAGGAATATGATGGAGATCAGATTGATAACGAGGCGTCTGCCGGGACTGAAGAGAATGAGGACTGTGGATTTAAAAGTATTGAAAATAAACAAGGAAAAGGTGTATAAAACATCTTAGCACAAAAATTAAGAGAAATTTCACTGAAATATAATTTTCGTGTGGTAATTTTAAAACTCATCAATTGACGCCATCCCCTTTTCAAAACCCCCCTTTAATCGAAATTCAACCTGTTAGTCCCGAGAAAAAGTGGGAATTTCAAGGCAGTTTGTTTTTATAGGAACACTAAAACAACATCACTCATTGATGACGAAGAATTAAACAAGAGCTGAGTATATCTTTTCCATCAAAAAGACACTTCTCTTTACTATCAAGTTCACTCTTCCTGTCATTGGAACATTCAAATATTATGCACAATTTTCCATGCACCTGCATGGTTGCAATGATATCTCAACTCTAAATGTGAAAGCGTTGTGCTTCTCGTAGTTCCCAGTATCATATTTTGTAGAAACTCTAGAGAAAGCCATTGATTTGATTGTCTTTTTCTTTATACGACTGTAAGCTGGGTTGAAAATAGTTAGGTACGATTATTTAAAAAAGTAGACGGTTCAGCCGAGTATAAGGTAATTGAATCGTTGATGCAAAAAGCTGTCGTTTTGACAACTTGATCAGTTAGGATTAAAGTCAACTATGCGCATATTTTACTTTTATCAATCGGAGAAGATCTACCCTTGGATTAAGGAAAAATTAACCAGGAAGCTGAATAGCTGATACTAATTTGCGCTTGACATACCTAGAATTAACCTTATCTTTCCTCTGTTAGTTTAACATTTGATAGCATAATACTTGAACACAAACCTTGTCTGCTGTTCAAAGCGCAGTTCTTAATGGCTTCCGCGGCAAGTGCTTCCGGTTTGCCAAATGTTTTACCATCATCTTTAGGCCCCCAAGACGCACTTTTGATGTGAATATAATCACAGTTTAAGCCCAGTGCTTGCGCTTCAGTAACGTCCGTGACGTCTCCGTCAAGGAATCGTATTCCGCCAATGGAAGCGTTAGGTGCAACTCCAACTCCACAAATCTCATTATTCGCGGCTGCTGCCACTTCTCCTCCACATTTTGTGCCATGAGAATTTTCAGCAAGTTTGGCTGGTGTCGACATATCCGGTGTGGGATCATCGTCGTTCCCGTTAATGTCCCAGCTAGCTTGTGGATCGTAATTTTCCATTAAATCCGGATGTCTATGATCCAAGCCATCATCGACAATAGTAACAACTACCCCTTTCCCAGTATAACCACGCTTATTGGCTTCCAAAACTCCCAAGTTTCCGCTTGCCCCCTCAAATCCACTATCGTAAAGATACCATTGCTTTGGCCATTCTGGATCATCGAAGTATTCCCTGTTTTGTTCTTCGCGTCTAACATGGGCAAGAGTTTTGTCTACGGCCTTGAACCCTCGCTTGTATCTGAAAAGCAGAGTTTGTTGTTTAGCCCGTTTTACCCGAGGGTGCGCTAGTAAGGGTTGAGTGTGATGGTCCGCACTACGTTTTTGACGACTACCAGTTTGTCCATGAACAAAGTGAAAATGTCCAGCTAAATTTGCTACCGCACCGCGGTTTTCAAAACCTAAGCTCCTCGCCACATCGTCCGCCACCGATTTCTCGTGCGTATCAAGTTGAACGGCCCAAGAGTTTGTGTAAATTTTGTCACCTGTTTTATCTTCTTCTAAGCTTTGATCAAGATGTGTTGTTACTATTAAGAGTAAGCCATACAAGAGGCAACGGAGCGTCATAATTTACGTCGTGAATATTGAACTGTTTGATAGTTTCGCTTGCCAGTCCTCCTACTTGCTTAATACATTGTACCAAGACAACCGACTCCAGCTGAAAACTTCAAACAACTATGCATAATCTCCAGGTCGTTTTAACACAGCATAATCACTCTAAAATTTACAAGTTAAATGCGAATTGCGTCATTTTAGTAAGGTGTTTGCATCATAAGTATAAACGATAATGGTATTAAAAAGGGAAAAAAATTGTTTTTATCGGCTAAGGTTGAATGACAATGGAGGAAACGTTTTTGGTTAACCACAACGTTGGATTTTATACGAATAGACGGTCCTATTTATCATCTTCAAATCATTATTTCGTGACGTATCACTATTAGGCAAATAGATTGATCACTTGGATACAGGGGACAAACTTTTCGATTGTTCGTTCAAAGACAAAAATTGAATATTATTTTGTCATAGGTGAAGTGAAAACATTCTAAAAAGTAAACTTCATCTATCTACCAAGAAAATATCTTCTAAAGTCAGCAAAAATATTTCGCGTGACACTATTCAACAGCTGGTATAGGAGAATTTGTTCAAGTCGGGACATTTTATTTCTACTAAACTTTTCCTTCGTTTATTCTTTTGACTGACTGGTTTTCATGTTAAAAAGAATACATTACGAAATAAATATTCAATTTTTTATTCATGATCGGTGCTGTAATGGTTGAATTACTAAAAAGGAACTATAAAACAGGTGCTTAAAAAAGCACTACTCTCTAAATGATTTTTGTGTGGGGGTAGGCGGATATTTTAGAAAGCGCGTATTTTAGCCAAAACTGGCTATCACTAAACTGAACAAAATATGAAAGGCCATCCTTAAAACAGAGAGGGGATATTGAAATAACAGGGAAATACAAAAAAGGACTCACGGATAAATGAAATAAAGAAGATCAAAACAAATTACAATTTTTGAAAACCGTAATATGTCTTAGAAAGCTGTTCAAATTGTCTGTTTTTGAAATTTTATGTCTGTCAATTGAAACCGTTTTGATTATAAGGTTGATAATCGGGAATCATAAATATTCTTCCATATTGCCAAAAATGAACAAAGTAGCCAGGATATATTAACTTGGCTGAAAACTATACCGTATGTATACACAATTTAACAGACTGTTATATTACATTTATCCCAAACCCCGCCTGGCTCTCAAAATAAAAAGAGATCAATTTCCTCATGTAAAAAAAGGAAAGGAGGGCGATTTTTTTTTTACCCGCTTCATTTTATTCCCATCGGTGAAAAAGAGTAACGAGAAACTATAATTTCCTTCATATATGACACTGTTGTGCCCCCGCACACATAGAATTAGGCTCCTGAATTTGATCAGTTTGCAGAGAGTAGTCCGTAGCTTGAATTTCATCAGCCTGAGTAGCATGGCGGTTTTGGTTGCTAAGCAATAAAGGCGGGCGAAGGCAGAGAAACCGCGAGGAGATTGGGGCGAGAGCAACTGGTTTTTATTTTTGTCGCGGCTTCGCCGCTCGTGCGCCCGGCTCGACAAAACAAAACCACCATGCTACGCAGGCTAGAATTTCGTCCGATTGCTTCCAGTCGTTTTCTCCTCTCAGGAGGAGAGTGAAACCTCGCTGAGGGAGTAAAAACGACTCGAAGTACTCGTCTGAAATTCAGGCTAGAGAGTCTGGTGACCGATAAATGGCTTAACGCAAGGGGATGGTTAAGTGTGCGACATCCTTCTTATTTAATCTCACTCGGCCACTGGGGAGGGTCGTCTACAGGACTGATTCATTAGATAAAGAAGCCACTCCAAGCCTAGAAATAGCCTCAGTTCCAGCTCTCCCTGGCCGACACACGCGGCCATGTCAACCACACTTTTAGACCCTAGAATAGAATAAATCTCATGAATCCCGGCGCAACTTCAGGGACCACGCAACAGCGCAAGCGGGGGGGTGGGGGGGGGGGGGGGAAAAGGAGGGGGGTGGTTTTTCTCTAAACCCCGATTAAAAAAAAGGAAAAATAGAAAAAAAAACGGCCAAATTTTTTTTAAATTTTCCCCTTTCTCCATTTTAATTTAAACCCCCCCTGGAAACACTTTTTTGAGGGGGCAAAAAAACTCGGGAAGAGGGCGAAACAATGGGCCCTGGGTAGCGG